GAGAGAGAGAGAGAGAGAGAGAGAGAGAGAGAGAGAGAGAGAGAGAGAGAGAGAGAGTGAGGGGGGAAAATGTAAACAAATAGCTCCTTATTAGTATTTATTTCAAGCCCCCTGCGGGTTATCCGAGAGGGCCCTGCACACAATCAGCAAGGGCCACGTTGCCATGAATGAGGCAGTAGTCAGAGCCATGCTGAAGGTATGGCTCGCCAAGTATATATGCTGTTGATTCACTTTAAGGTCCGTGTTTCAGCAGTTATGGGACGACTGAGCACGCGAGTTTCAGGGCAATAGCAGGCCAACTCACCACGTGCTTTTCAGGGCTTCTCTCCACTAAAAATGTGCAAAACTAGAATGAATCTTCTGCTAGAACATGGAACTGTACGCCGCCATATGTTTTGTCTTTTGTGCAAGTGGTGACGAGTGAAGCAAGGCCCTTAGGGCCACTTGTCGTAGGAAAAGGAAACAAAAGAGAGAGAGGAATGAATCTTCTGCTAGAACATGGAACACATACGCCGCATATGTTTTGTCTTTTGTGCTGGTGACGAGTGGAGCAAGGCCCTTCGGGCCACTGCTCGTAGGAAAAAGAAACGAAAGAAAGAGAGAGCTACGGTAGTTAGTAGTTGTAACTTGTAACCCATAACTGCTCGAAAGCAGACCTGACTTCGGATCCAGAACATATATTGCTGGCCTGCTCTTCTTTTACATGAAATTTGCTGAACATCTCTTGAGATGTTGGGACACTTGCATATGTACTGCTGGGGTCCTCGGTGAAAAAGACTATTCAACAAGGAATACGTGGGCCTTATTTTTTTTTCTGTGGGGAGGTGCACCATTGGCTACCTCAGCCAGCCTTCTCCAATCTTTTTTTTTATATCCTATTTAGTGGGGTGCGTCGCATCACGTGCGCTTCCATGCTTACACGTGCGTTATGCGTCGCACGTGCGGAGCTCGCGTGCATGCGATACGCCGCAGGTATGGGTTGGAGTATAGGCGGAGTATAGGGGTGATATAGGGGATATTGGGGGGGTTAATAAGGATGTTGGGGGCGGTTCGGGAGTGTTAGGTTGGTGTATGCGGGTATTGGGGGCCGCTATGGGGGTGTGGGTGGGGTTATTAGAGGTTCTGGATCCCAAAAACAAAAAACAAAAAAAGTGCGGGGTGCCGATGATCCCCGACTGCTAGTTGCTGACCAGCCGATCGGTCGGCGGGTCCGCAGCCGACCAGTCAAGGGCCGCCGACCGTCGGGGTGTGCAACACTGGTCTTGGCATCCTAGTTGGTTGCTTCCTGTTGTTCGACCTGTGTGAGGGCGGTGCTTTTATGTGGGAATCGTCATCTGGGATTGTCTTTTATGTTTTTTGTCCTAATAAGAACGGTTTTTAAATGGGAATACTCACGTCTTGATGACGAACAAGGCCATCTGCTGTATATAGATATGTAATCTGGGGATTTTCTGTTTTTGCAGACGAGTTTTGTCCTGGGTGGTCTTGTCCTGTCCTTTGGCCTGTGAAGGAGGGGCGGTGCTTGCATGTGGGACTTGCCATCTAGGATCCGTTTTTGGTGCTATGGCTTGTTGCCCCCTGTTTTGTTGTATTTGGCTATTCCCTTCCTCTTTTCTTTGCCTCTTTGCCTTTTGGCTGTGTGCAAGTGGGTCGATATGACACACGGGGGTGGGGGCAGCTGCCGCTCAACCTTCCTCCACGTGGGCAGCCTTGTACGCAAGATGTTCTGAACAGGGGGAGTTGTAAGAAAGAAGATAAGAAAACGAATTATTTTTTTTCTTGTTTTCTTCTGTTTTTTCGCTTTGCGCTCTGATATTCATGTGATGATAAATATATACAACTCTTAGTTTTCTGCCTCCAAAAAGCAAAGAGGTAGTAATAACTTGTTTGCACAAAAGTGGATTGTGACCATTCCTTGTCTGGCAGATCGTGATGAATTCTCGCAGGTTGGAGTACATAGCAGCTTGTCTTGCGATGAAGACATGCCTTGTGCCACGTCCAGTGAATGTATCTGCAATCGCAGCCAGGTTCTTAGCTTGGCTTGACATGCCAGGTTGGTTTTCTCTCATTTGTCACGGTCTTGGCTAATTTTGAAGTATACATTCATGAGAAAGCGCAATGCCGTCCAATTGCAAAAAGAAATGAATGAACTTGAGAGGAGAGAGAGGAAAGAAGAAGACGAAGAAAGAAGAAGAAGAAGAAGAAGAAGAAGAAGACAAAGAAGAAGAAGAAGATGTACACCAGCAAATACCAATGATAATTCCTTTCTTCTCGCCAACCACTCTCCTCCTCCGTTTCTGCTCCCCTCTTATTCAAACAATAAATGATAATAATAATGTTGAATGGTGGAACCAGAATCAATGTGCGAATCCCTCTTCTACTGCAGGTACAACATGAGGTCCACCATAGCCATGGCCACTCGTCTCCTTCCACTTCCTGAAGGCCAAGGCTATGGCGGACTGCTAGGGCCTTGCCCTGATGTGCAAAAGACCACTCGAAGCAGCTATGGCTGCTCTAGCTCAGGCCGCCATGCCTGAATCTGCGTCAAAGCTTCTTGGTGTAGCTCTACCCCAACTGGGGCCTTCCAGATGCAGCGCCCACCAAGGTGATGAAGATGGCATCCACCGTAGCCAGGTAAGTACCTCTGGCGCTCCCCCTTGCTAGTCCTCGTCTTCCTCCTCCTCCAGCCCGTGCTCCTGCACCATAGCAGAGGTGGAGAGCTGGGCGCTCCTTCCTTCCCAGTAGCACTGCTCCAGCCAGCGCTCCAAGCAGTGTGTCGCCAAACTTGCACACTGTAGAATGAGGAGGATCCCTTTGCTCCTCCAGGAGATATAGCGGCCTGCTTGCCTCTTGGACGGTGACTTCCAGGCCGTGTGGCCTCCAAGCAACCTGTACCTCCCTTTCGGAAGGGAACATCATCGCAGACTCTGATATTGCCCGTACGGGCCTTAGTCTCAGACGACTTGGACTGGTACCCGCCTAGACCTAGCCTACAACTACTGGGCCTCTAAAAATACCAACTTTTGTCTTCTTCTGCTCGACCTCGAGTACCTGACACATCTACCGCTACTTGGTGTGGTACCGGCCTACCTGCTACTGAGTGTTTCCCCCGCTGCAACCCGCAATGTCCTGGCCACAGGTAAGTAGCGACCCTTCGGGCCTCCTGAACAAACAAGTGCCCTTGCGGGTCACACACACACTCAAACCGACAGGCACTCAGACAGGCACGCAGACCAGCAATCGCACACACTAGCTCTCTGTTTTTGCAGATTTGAGCGGCTAGGATTGGGCTCGTACTAGCAAGCTATTTTTTCTCTGTGGTTGGATGTGTTTTGCTGGGTTTGGCCCAGTTCTTTGCCCTGCTTTGCAGCATGGGCTGTTTTGTTGATGAAAAGATGTTTGTGGGTGGTCATGAGCTTTTTTGGGGGTGGGGTTTTCGGGTTTTGTGCATAAGACCTCTGTGAGGAGGCTCAGAGTGTTTGGTGTGGGTGTCATTCCCGTGGGCTGCTTTTTCGGAGCACAGGGAAGAATGGGGCAGTTTCTAGGGTGTTTTAAGCAGTAGCTCTCCTGGTGTCACACAGAGATCTTGTGGAATTTGGCATATTAGTCATGGAGCAGGGTTGCATGCCTGCCGACCGCCGACCCTGACCGCCACTGTTTTTCAGCCGACCAGTAGGGCCTACCAGTCGGAGGTCTGCCGACCAGTCAGAAAACAATCCACTGATGTTTTTTCAAATCTTCGTTAGGGGCTGTACTGCTCTTGCTGAGTACAGCCCAAATTCGATGAGAAACTTTTGGGGATGCAGGGAGGTAAGGGGGTGTCGGGGGGGGTAGAAGGGGGTGGGGGGGGGGGGGTAATGAGGGTGTTGGGGGGTGATTTGGAGGGGTTGAGGGGGTGTACAGGGGTATTTGGGGTGGCTGAGGTAGCCAGACGTGCCCCTCCCTTCTACAGATTTTAAGAGCAGAGAAAAAAAATTAGGGCCCCGTATTGCTCATTGCAGATAGCTTTTTTTCTGAAGGGCCCCCAGCAGAGAATCTGCAGGGCTCTTACATCTCAGCGGAGACACTCGACGAATTTCGGATGAGCTAGGAGCAGGTCAGCAATATATCTTCTGGATCCGAATTCACGTCTGCGTTCCAGCAGTTATGGGCTACAACCAGGGTTGCACACCCCGACGGTCGGCGGCCCTTGACTGGTCGGCTGCCGACCCGCCGACCGATCGGCTGGTCGGCACCTAGCTGTCGGGGATCATCGGCACCCCGCACTTTTTGTTTTTTTGTTTTTGGGATCCAGAACCCCTAATAACCCCACCCACACACCCATAGCGGCCCCCAATACCCGCATACACCAACCTAACACTCCCGAACAGCCCCCAACATCCTTATTAACCCCCCCAATATCCCCTATATCACCCCTATACTCCACCTATACTCCAACCCATACCTGCGGCGTATCGCGTGCGCTCGAGCTCCGCACGTGCGGCGCATAACGCACGTGTAAGCATGCACGTGCGCGTGATGCGACGCACCCCACTAAATAGGATATAAAAAAAAAAAATGGAGAAGGCTGGCTGAGGTAGCCAATGGTGCACCTCCTTACAGAAAAAAAAATAGGGCCCACGTATTCCTTGTTGAATAGTCTTTTTCGCGGAGGACCCCAGCAGTACATATGCAAGGGTCCCAACATCTCAAG